GGGTTAGGAGGGGAGAAAAGTGTAACAATGAATAAATGGAAATCCAAAGTCTCTGTAAATTTTTACTGAATAATAAATGTAAATTAAAAAAATTAAGACTGTAGAATTATAATACGTTTCCCACAAATTTATGTACCTAAATAGGTAAACAAATTCCATTGATTAAATGGCAAAATGTCCAAATTCCACTTAAAGATTCTACCAACAAAACCACAAATTCCTATTTAAAATGAGAACTGCCTCAAGTTAGTCCATGATTTCCTTCCCCTCCCTACCCAAAAGCTCAGTTTAGGAGGCTGCAGGAAATCCATCTTAAGGTCTCTTACCATTTATACCTTTATAAAGAAATCCTAGAAATTTCCCAATACTCATTTTTCCTTCCAGCATATCTGCATTTAACTTATATACACTGCCTACTATAAACAATGTTACTTTCCCTATTTTTGAGCACTAATTAAACTCTATAAATGCCATGTTCCAGAAGACATTAATAACCAGGGGGGTCTCAAAATAAGTCTTCAATAGATTCTTGTCAGTTTACCTTCTCCTGGAGACTAAGCATTTTCAGACCAAAATCTCATTTGTTTACATAGCAGGTTGTTGTGTAGTCAGAACCGTCCCACAGCTAAAACTGGTGGGTTTTCAGAGGTAGTCAGTCCCTTGAGAGGACACAGTCCATCTGTCTCTGAAAGAGCCTCAAACCATGTGCCTATAAGATTACAGTGCTGCTTCTTTCCATTAGGCCACCAGAGCCCGCTGTTCCCCACCCTTCCTTTTGTAAAATAAAACTAGGATTGCAGTCAATATAAAGAATTTTTTTTAAGTTGTTATTCACTTACTGTTTTGGGATACTTAATAAACCTCAATGCTAGACCTTTTTTCTAGTCATATGCAGTATTTTATACATTTTTTTAGCATAAGGTAACTTTAAATACCCTATGATCCTATGATCAGATTCCAAGTAAACTGTTAAAATATCAAGTCCAGTATGACTTATAGTAATCCTATAAACAGATCTGAACCCTGTCCTATCCAGTGCCATTCTCATCATCTCTAACACATGTGCAGTCTGCTGCTGCAGTCACTAGTCAAAATACAACATACTGATAAGTCTTCTCACAAGTAAATGTGCACCATCGAGCCTCAGTTGACCATAGCTGACTCTACCAACAGGTTTTTAGACACCAACGGGCCCATCCTTCTCCCACAGAACAGTAAGATTCCAGAGCAGCTTACCAGTAGGTCATCAGAGCTTCTGAACAGTTTCCTGACCAAGCTCCCACAAGTATTTTTTAAAGACAAACCTGCCCAACAGAACAAGTACTTAATTCCATCCTAGTAACTAATCTGAAATGATCAGTCTTGATAATTATCAGTCTTGACTGTCCTTCAAGTCTAAAAATTTTGTTTTCCCCTCAACTGTCCTTAATTACTGTGGAGGTGACCAAAGAGCAGGTTCCATAAGAAATTGTTTTTAGGGCCAGGCTTTGTAAACCACATGTGAATTTAACTTACATCTGCATATGAAGTTTACAACTTTGATGTAGAAAAAACACATAACTATTTTCCATAAAACAATTTTAAAATCAGTGGCACTGAAACAGTATTCAAATCCAATGTCAAAAGTGAAAACACTGAGAAATAATGGGATGATTGGCTTTACAAAGAGAGGAAGAATTTAAGACATTTCTTTAATCCCTCCCTGGATATAGTGTTTTGCCTTAGCATCTTTCGTATAAAATATTCGTGATTATCCATTAACATGCAAAGCCTATGAAACTTTCTCCCCCCCATATTAACTCCCAACATTAATCTGAAAACAAGAAATAACCCACTTTATTCTCCCATGTTTCGTCTTTTAAGTTAAAACCTCTGTAGAGTTCAACAAAATGGCATCCAGACAGTATACAGAATAGTTATCTAAGGAAAAAAAAATTAAGTTAGGGACAAATCTTTGATTAAGACAAAGACCTGGGAATTATTTCCACAAAGGTAGTGCCAGTGTAGGAAAACATTTATATTCATAAGGGTTGAATTCATACTGTAAAAAAATTAGAGATTCACTGAACGTTAGAGGTGGGAAAGAATTAAAAAAAGGGAGCAAGAGGAAGTGACTTTTTTTTTAAGTTAAAAAACAAAAGGTGAGAACTCTCGTTTCCTAACTTCAAAAGTCGGTGATCTTTCAAGAAACGCTCCCTTTTTGAGTGAAAAAAGGGTACTTTTTTTTTAGCCAGACTTACAATTACAGTCTTTCTCACTTTTTTCCTTTCCTCGGCACTCTCCCATTGATGTCCTTTGGTACTGCTGTCACACCAACAACTTGCGTTTACTTCTATGTGATCTTGTTGCAACTCACCAGGGTTCCCTTTCATTTATCTCATTTTTTGTGTTTGACCAGTTCTTTTGTCCCACAACACAACACACAGAACCTAAACCCATTCAAGTCACTTTGTCTTTAATAAGTGTCATTCACTTATTAAACATATTAAATGCAGGTAAACATACTCCCATTCAAGAAGATGCGACCATGATTCCCTCCCCCGAACATGATCGAGTCCGGACTCCAGAAAGACGCAGGGGTGGGAACCAGGGCTTCCCGGCTCCCAGACTGCAAACGTCCCGATGGGAAGCCTCCGAGGGGCAGCAGGCGGCAGAAGAGACGTGAACTACGCGGGACCTCAGAGGACCGGACGCGGCTTCTGGGTCATGAGCACCTTGAAGCGTTTCTTGATGGTGATTCGGTGTCTCGAGTACTTATCGTCCGGGGAGAACCGCGCTGGATGGGCTGAAAATGTCTGTTGTCCCATAGGGTCGAACTTCTGCTCGAAGAGAAAAAAGAGAACACGATTTCAGCAAAAGAGGGGTGAGGTGCAGGCAGCGCGAGAGAAGACAAAATGAGACTGGGGGATGCAACGGTCAAATCAAGACGCGCGCTCTGGCTTCTTAACCACACCTCGGGCTCTAATTCCCCTCACACTCGCGCTAGGCAACTAACTCAGGGGCGAGTCTTAACAGCTTCCCTGACCTACATTTCTGGCCAAACCCTTGTTTCTTCACCTTACCTTCAGCGTATAGACCCGTTCTCCCTCCTCGTTAAGATAATACTGGAGAAACATCGTCACACTCCTGCCGGGGATTCCAACTACTTCTCCAGGAGCTACCACTCTGTCCGCCGGATCGCCTCACGTGTTTGTCAACTTCCTCTCCTCAGGCGTTTATCAACTTCCTCTACGCAAAACCGGAAATCTTTCTCATGGCATGCCGGGAAATGTAGTCCACCATTCTCCCGTCGCCAACTCGCCGATAGGGGGCGCGTTAGTGCAGAGCTCGGCCTGAGGCTACAAGTTGTAATCTTGCTCATGTTCTAAAACCCATGGAGGTGCCCACCGTGTGCCAGTCACTGTTAGACGTTGGAGGGGGATGTGCATTGGATTGTGGTGAATAGAATACTGCCTTTATTATTAGATGCATATCCATTACAGGGCCAGTGAGTTTCTAATGCTTAAGAAACAAGTGTTCTAAGCTTTCAGAGCCCCTTTACCTTAGGAAAGAGAGGTGTTCTTTCCTCCGCTCTTTTACATCCGGTTCCCTCCGTCCATTTTCAAAATATTGGCGGTAAAGAGTGCATGATGGGAATTCAATTTTCTACAGAGCGAAGAGCGCGTGCAGTTATCTCATGAATCGTGTGACCTATGTTTTAGTGATCAAGTCAAGATACAAACTCTTAATTTAAATTTTTTACTGCAAGCTCAGCACTCTTACATGGTAAGTAGCTAATAATTGCATACGATGCACCTCCTAGGGATATTTAGATTTGCAAAACAACGGAGATAGTCTCCTTACAGAATTCTAGTTTAAACAAATGAAAATTGGAACCAAAGTATTATGAAGACGATCACTACAAGAGTATTTGTAATGAAGTAAATATTGAACCTCATGTTAAGTTTAAAACTGAAAAACTCTGATAGCCTTTTTAATTTTCTTTTGTAAACAATTGTTGCCGTATACCGTCTAGTCAGAACCGACTGCCTCATAGCTTATCCTGTAGCGGGTTTTTAGCGGCAGTAAATCGCACGGGAGGAGAGGGTTCTCCCCCACAGCAACTTGCGGTTTCGAACCGCATATCTCTGGGTTAACAGCGCAATTCCTTACACTAGGCCTCTGGCGCTCTTTTTTACAGGCCTTTTTTTTTTTTTTTTGCAAACGATAGCTCACAAAAGTAGCAGCATAAAATATACCTAGAGAGATTAACAAGAAGCAGGTAATAAAATTTTCATCTAGGATGGAGAACTATTATGGAGAACGGAGTGAGAGGAAAACTTGTCTGTTTTGCATAGTTTGACTTTGAAGTCAGATGTACCAATTTTGAAGCAAGTATTGAAAAAATAACAGAAATAAAGACTTTCCTGATGTTGAAACTTTAGGGTACATGGCGGTTCTTAGCGCAGCGGGGTCTCTGAGCCGTAGACCGGGCCTGTTGTAGAGAGGCCGGAAACGGGCTGTTTGGGGGACCAGACCGGACCGCAACTTTCCAAGGAAATTCTGTGCCTAGGAATTCCCTGAATCTTCTGGGATGATGCTAATGTTAACTATCCCGTTCTCTTGATCCATAAATCCACTATCTGTTCTGAATTTGTTGTGGAAAATAGAACCTTCATCGAATTAAGCAAATGTCTGCCACCAAGCTGCTGTTAACAGGAAGTCAGTTACAGAACTTGGTGAGGTTGCAGGACACAAAAGTCGATAGACTGAAAGATGGAAAGAGAACAGAGCAGTAAGACTGCAGCATTAGGGAATCTGAGAAAGGATTTATAAGTTGCCCAAAGAGGCAGATAACAACTGTGTTGCCAAACGCTAGTCTGGAGGGGATTTTGGGTTATTGCCTGAACAATTGCCTGGGTTAATTGTCCGAACCCTTGGTGGCCCATCTCCTCCATCGCTCCCAGCATTCGCCTGCCCCCTCCCCCACTGCAGAATGCCTTGTGCCCGAGATTCTGATTCTGTTTGACCTGATCTTTACCCTCCCACTTCTTGGATCCTCATGTATCACTGACCACCAGGTTACTCTCTGGGTCCTGGGCCCGACTTGTCACATTCTGGAAGTTTCCTGATAGCCTCAGTTAGTGCCCAAACCTGAAAAGATGGCTTCAGATGGAGGTAAGTCTGCAGAGGGGAGGACCTCTGTTACTGGCTCAGATTTTGGGGGATTGAAATTTGACACCTCACAGTGGGTGGGATGGGCAAGCTCTTCAAACAAACTGACCTAGAGTAAGAAGAGAGTGCTTGACCCCAACAGAGGTATTATGTTAGGGGATAGTGGGGAAGGGACTTATGACCAATCAAGGCATTTTAGTGGAAGTATGCTGAGTAAAGAGAAGTGATGTCAGCTTGATACTCCTGAAGTACAGAGGTATGTGTAGTGGGGGCTAACACATGAAGGTTTTAAGGGGAAGGCCTGAATAACTGGATTCAACTGGATTCTATCTAGGATTTTGCCCTGAAAGAATTAAGTTAGGGTCACTCTTGACCTTATGAGGAAGAGAAAGAGAAACAGACTTAGCCAGAAAATCGTTCAGTGGGGTAGTATGTTGCTTACAGAGACAAGCACTCCCAGAAGTTGGTCTAGAAGGTATTATAGCTGTCCCCACTTTTAAAGGCTCTTTCCAGTCCCAGACATACTCTCTTTCAGTGTAGAGTTTTCCTTGATCCATCAGGGCAGATAAAGGAAGTAACTTCAACTAGGATGAGAGCTGGGGCTTCCCTAAGATAATCCTGAGTTTTTCTATCACAGGACCTCACACCTTCAGGCCCATTTCATTTGATCAGCGCTTTGTGGCATAGTCCTTGCCGTCAGCTTTCCCACTGAGGTGACAGGTTTCCATGTCTTCTTGGTAGAAGTTGTATCTAGTGTGGCAGGTCTGGCAAGAGCCTAGGGAATGTCACTTCAGGGAGTCAGCCAATGAGCACTTGTCATTCGTTGTTGTAGTTTGCATCACCAGCCTTGAGACCCTGCAATTGAAAACTGATTGCCATAGTTGCTATTTTCTGTAGCTACATTGCTGCTTCTTGGCCACAGAAGGGAAGCTAGATATTAGGAATTTACCAGCTGTTGCCATGGAATGTTTTGTTGAAGAGGGGGAGGACAGTAGCATGAAAGCAGGCAGATTATCTTCTGTTAATATTATTGAAATCCTATGAGACACATGTCCTGAATAATTAAGTGCACATTTGTGTACTGAGCTCCTTGACAGGAGTCTATGCCAGACTTCATTGTCTTTCTCTGACCAGTCAGCTCAGAGCCTTTTTCTATAAATTACTGTTAGAAATTACTGTAGAACATCAAAGTGGAAAGACCACAGACTGTGTTCATTGCCAAATTTTAATATGCCTGCCGGTGATTTAAAACTCCTCCTTAGACCTTTGCCCCTCATACATTTGCTCTCTAACCATTCTTTACTATTATATAACAAAATTTCTGGGGAGCAGGTATATCTGGGAACAGTACTTCTGTAAATGGTGCTAGATCACAGTCCAGCTGTGTTTTAAGTTAAAAGAAAAAGACATTTATAGAGAGAAAAACTAGAAGATTGGGGAGAATTAATTTTTTTTTTAGAATTTATTTTTTTTAAATTTTATTGGTTTTTTTTCTGTGTGTACCGTCAAATCAGATCTGACTGGCACAGGAGGAGATTGTCCCTTCTTCTCCAGTAGAGCATCTGGTGGATTCGAACCAGGCACATCTGGGATTGCAGTGCAGCTTCTTGCCACTAGGCCACCAGAGCTCCCTGGCTATTAATTTTTGAAGCTATTTTATGGTTCCTGTGGGTGTCTAGAGGGTCCAGAACCTCTCCTGGATGATGCTTATCTGCTGATGACCTCGTTTTGGGCTGTTTTACCTGCAGAACAGGTGTCATCCCTGTCCCACACCTTGACAGACAGCCTATGAAGCTGGCAGGGAGACCAGAGGCAATGATGGTGAAGGCTTGCCTCTTCCTGACAGGTGGGAGTAATTTTATAGTGCAGCGATTCTCAGCTGGGAGTAAGGAACATCAGCAGTGTTTGGGGGACATTTACAAACTATGGAAGTTTTCCATCCATGCCTCTTACTGTTGAGGATCAGTGCTCTGACTCTCAGTGACTCAAGGAGATCCACAGAATCTGATGGAGATCTTTTGCCTACTCCGTTGCTTTTTTTTTTTCTCTTTCTTTTTTCAACAGCATCTCCAATGCCAGGACAATATGTGGTTGTGAAGCCTGGCACTGCCATGCCTCACTTCACTGCTCTTCCCTTCCCCCTATCTACTCCAGGTGCACAGGACCAATCGCCCTGGGAGCCATCCCCGCAGCCCTCCATGCAGTCAGCCTTCTCTCCAGGCAGCCCTCTGGTGCTATCTGCCTTCCCTAGCCCACTGATGACGACAGGGGATGGGGGCCCTGGCCCCAATGGGGCTGGGGCTGGCAAGGTCATTGTCAAAGTCAAGACAGAAGTGGGGCCAGCTGAGCACCCTCAAACTCAGAACTTTGTTCTGACTCAGACTGCCTTCAACTGGATTGCCTCAGGCACTCCTTGCGGGGGCCCTGAGGGTCCTGCACCTCAACTTGTGACAACTTCTAATGTGACAACCATTCTGCCTGCTAAGTCTGTTGGGGTCAGCCAGGAGGGCTCCTCAGGCCATCCTCCTCAGTTAGCTCTACCACCAGCTGCTCAACTGACTTCCATTGTTTCCCCGGAGAAGGCTTGGCCAGGGCCACATGGAGCTCCTGGGGAAGGAAGCCCTACAGCTGCCCAGTCGGGGCCAGCACTGGGTGATCTCTCCTATACCTCCAAAGGCGTTTATGAGAACTTCCGGCGCTGGCAGCGCTACAAAGCCTTGGCCAGGAGACATCTATCCCAAAGTCCTGATGCAGAAGCTCTTTCCTGTTTCCTTATGTAAGTGGAGAGACCTTAGACAAATTAAGAGGGACCAGTGGGATGACATAGATTAGAGTCGTTAAGAATACTTGAAGGTTGAGCAGGAGGGTGATAGTGCTGCTATGTGGAGACAAAAGCACAGTAATGGTATTAATGAACCTCTTAACCCACTTTTCAAATGCTTTCAGGTGTTTTCTTTCAAGTGGTCCTCAGAAACTGTGCATTCAGGGAAGCATTTTTATAGTAATCTCCATTGAGATGGAAACTCAGAGACGTTTCCTGTCTCCTACTCTGCTTTACTGACATTTGAGTTGAGCAAATCCAATTGCCAGGACAAGAAATGCTGGGCCCTGACCTGTGCCTGTGGATGAGAAGGAAAATGCAAGGCTAACCAAAGAACCTGTGTGTCTTCCTCCATTAATCCGCCCCCCCCCCCCCCCGAGTAAAGTGGAGGTTGAATTGAGACATGGTGGAGCATGCTTGGAATTCCTGGATGTTATAAAGGTTACCTAAAAGAGTGGTAGTTTGGGTTCATACAGAGGCACTGTAAAATAAAGGTCTGGCAGTCTACATGGAAAATCTGATGGAGCGCAGTTCTACTGTGGCACATAGGACTTTGTTCGGAGTTGGTGGCAGCAGGTTTTTAGGTTTTTAAAGAGCATGCTTAGTGGTCATGCGTTCCACTACTTCATGAGTGAATCTTGAGAAGGGCATTTAACATCTTTAGCTCTCAGTTTTCTCATCTAAGAAGAGATTAACTATATCCATCTCAAGGGATTGCTGAGAAGATTAAATGAGTTTACATATGTACAGTGCTTAGCAAAGTGAATGCCTCATTAAATGGATGATGGTGGTAGATCCCTATGGGGCACAAACAATTTGCATTGGACTATTAATCTGTAAGGTAGTGGCTCTATCTCCACCTCTCCGGTGGTAGTGTGGAAAAAAAGGCCTAATAATCTGTTTTAGTAAAGATAATAACTTCCTGAATTTAAGAATCATCTTAAGAATAGGTTTAGGGAGCTCTGGTAAGAAGCTGCACTACAATCCCAGAGGCACAAAGTTCAAATCCACCAGATGCTCTGCTGGAGAAGGAGGGGCAATCTCCTCCTGTACCAATCAGACCCGATTTGATGGTACACACACAAAAATATAATAAAATAAAAAAAAGAATAAGTTTGAAGTATTGAACACCAGTGATTGAAGACCAGATGACTTGTGGGATGACATCAAAGACATCAGCCATGAAGAGATCAAAAGGTCACTACAAAGAAGAGAAAGAAAACCAAAGTAGATGTCAGAAGAGATGCTGAAAATTGCGCTAGAGCATCAAGAAGCCAAAACAAGAGAGGAGATGCTGAAGTAAAAGATTAAAGAGAATATTTCAAAGGGCAGCTTGAGAAGACAAAGCAAAGTATTATAATAAAATTTGCAGAGACCTGCAATTGGAAAATAAAAAGGGAAGAACTCACTCAGCATTTCTTTACTTAAAACAAATTCAAGCCTCAAGTTGCAATACTGAAAGATGTTAGGGGCAAAACCTTGAATGACTGGGGAACCATCAAAAGAAGACTGGGGAGAAGGAGAGAAGATGAGGCAAATACACAGTCACTATACCAAAAAAGAATTTGGCAACACTAAAATATTTCAGGAACTATCATAAGAACAGAAGAATTCGTGCCTTTATACTGTGGTGTTGGAGAATACCAAATATCCCATGAACTTCCAAAAGAAAAAACAGATATGTCTTGGAGAAGGTGCAGCCAGAGTGCTCCTTGGAGTCAGGGATGGTGAAGTTTGTCTCAGATAGTTGTGCATGTTGCTAGGAGAGGCTATTCCTTGGAGAGGGATATCATGCTTGGAAAGGTAGAGGGGCAGTGAAATAAGACTCTCAATCAGGTATATTGACACAGGGCAACAGTGGGCTCAAGGGTGTTGGCATGTGTGAGGATGGGAAGGGATCGGATGGGGTTCAGATCTGTTTTACACAGGGTCACTGTGAGTCGTGCTCAACTTGACAGCACCTAACAACAACCATAGAAACAAGAGCCAATGATAGGAAGAAGTTCAAGCTGCACTGCAGGCATTGTAAAAAAATAAGGCCCAGGAATCAATGGGATGCACATTGAGATGTTTCAACTAACAGATGGAGCTCTGGATGGGCTCACTAGTCTATGCCAGGAAATTTGCAGGACGGCTTCCTGGCTTACCAACTGGAAGAGATCCGATCCCAATTTGTTTCTATTCCCAAGAAAGGTGAGCCAACAGAACATGGAAATTATCAAACAATGTTATTAATATTACATGCAAGCAAAATACTGCTGAAGATCATTACAAAAATTGCTAAAACATATAGATACATAAAGAGAAAACTGCCAGAAGTTCGAGCTGGGATTAGAAGAGGCCATGGTTCCAGGGGTATCATTGCTGATGTCAGATGGATCCTGGATAAAACCAGGATCAAACTTCTTCTGAACACCAGAAGAATGTCTTTGCTGACTGCAAAGGCATTTAGCCATGTGGATCGTAATAAATTATGGCTAACATTGAGAATGGGAATCTCAGAACACTTAATTGTGTTAATGAGAAACCTGTACGTAGACCAAGAGGCCGTTGTGTAAATAGGGCAAGAGAACACAATATGGTGTAAAAAGAAACCATTAAAAATTAATTTACAACCTTCAGTATGGCTTATATCTCATCAAGAAGACAAAACTCTTTGCCTTTGGGTTGATAACAACATCATGATAGATGGAGAAATGACTGAAATTATCAACTTCATCTTACATGGATCCACAATCAATAATAACCTTGGTACCAGCAAAGTAGATCAGACGATCATGAGGTGCATTGGGCAAGTCATCTGTCAGGGAATTATCGAGGAGCAGTGATAGCAGTTTGAAGACTACGGTGTGCCTGCTTCAGCCATGGTCTTTTCAGTCACCTGCTGTGCATCTGAGAGCTAGTCAGTGAGGAAAGATGATAGAAGATTTGATGAACTGTGGTGTTAGAGGAGAGTGCTGAATATCCGATAGAATTCCAAAAGAACAAGCAGATATGTCTTGGAGAAGATACAGCCAGAATGCTTCTTAGAGGCTAAGATGATGAAGCTTCATCTCACATAACTGGGCATGCTGCTAGGAAAGTGGTGGAAGTGGTCAGCAAAAGAGGAAGACCTTCAACCAGTGACTGCAGTAATAGGCTCCAGTGTGTCCAAGGGGATGAGTATGGCATAGGATAGGACAGTTGTTCATAGGGTTGCTATAAGTCGTACTTGACTCAGTGGCACCTAACAACAACAACAACATAAGTGAGAGAACCCTGGGAACCAAGTCTGCTCTCTAACACATGGAGTCATCATAGTTAGAATTCATTCAATGGCAACAAGTTTGGTTGTTATTGTTAGCCACTGTTGAGTTGGCTGATTCATGGTGACCATATTCACGATTGGATTAGAAACTCAGAGTTTCAGAGGCAGACTGCCAGGTATTTCTTCCTAATCTTAGTTTGATTACACCACGGAAACCTTCAGCATGGCAGATACATGCAGTTTTCTAGTAGTTGCTGCATTGATGTACATTTGGACAGGATTAGAGCCTAGGCTTGCTTTTTGCATAAATACTCTCTTGGAGCCCAGAAGGTTGAATTTCTGAATCTCAAGGCAGCATGGGCTCTATGGTTTTGTATTGACCCTGGCTCTCCACCTTTAGAGACTCTGGGTCGGGTTTCCTTCAAAGTGCAGACCAGATCCTCTAAGACAGTCACTTGTTATGTGCTGTCTATTAAAAAATGACTCATAGCCGACCCTCCAGTTGGTCTTAAGAGGCTGTAAATCCCATAGGAGGAGACTGCCCATTTTTCTCCTGCAGAGCAGCTGGTGGACTTGAACCACATTGTCTGCCTTCAGTTTGGTAGTGCAACTCCTTTCCCACTAGACCACCAGAAAAATGCTCTGGTTTTGGGTTTATGGGAGAGAGCTTCTGAAATAATTTTATAGTAAACTTTGCAGGTGATGCTGACACACACTGGGAACTGAGCAGGAAGTGAGAGGCAAAAACGAAGGATTTTTTTTAGGCTGGCCTCTTGATTTCTTCTGGATAAGAAGGGCTTAGCAGCCTTCTAAATGTTGGAGGTCTAATTTGCTATTGGAAGTCTGGTAAGGAATATTCTAATTGCAAAACAAATCCACTTAAAAGCCAAAAAAAAAAAATATCAACACACAGTCTTGAATTAGAGGTTAAATCAGGTTAAGGAATTCCTTTTTTAAAATTCGGGAGCAAGATCAAATCTACTTTGTAGTGAATCTCAATTAGAAAGTGCTTGCTTTCTGATGTTTGAGGAGAGCAAGATGAGAGTTAGAGATGGATGAATTGGTTGATTTTAAAATGATTCTCATCTAGTTGATTTTGTTAGAGCAAATTTCAGCTGAGAAAAAGAGAGGTGTTAGATACGTGCCATCGAGTTAACTGTGGTTCAGATCGGAATCCTGCCCTATCCTGCACCATCCTCATGACATGCTGGAGCCCATTTAACACAGTGACTCTAAAATGGGCTCCAGGATGGTGGCGAGGATGAGGATGGTACATAGGGCAAGGCTCAGATCTTGTTCACAGGGTCTCTGAGTTGTAGTCAGCTGGACAGTATGGAACAACGGAATGGTATACAAGGGGGCTCTGGTGAAATGAAAGGGGGAGGGTGGTATGTGTGTAGGGGTGGCTGTGGGAGAGGTGGGTGGGAGGATGGATGCACTCGGAAAATGACTGACCTAATGGTTGTTTTAGTCCAGTGCTTCGTTCCCTGGCCCGGCTGAAGCCCACCATGACCCTGGAGGAGGGACTGCCGAGGGCTGTGCAGGAGTGGGAGCGCACCAGCAATTTTGATCGCATGATCTTTTATGAGATGGCAGAAAAGTGAGTCCCGTGCCCTTTCATTCTCTGTGTGGCCATGGATGATGAGCCAGTTAAGGGGGTAATTAAGGGTCTAGGGGTAATTATTTAAGAGGAGGATAGAAGGGCAGTAGATTAGGTGTCTAGACCCTGGAAGACTTTATTCTCTCCCATGTTGCTTTCACCATCTTTACTCCTGGGTTTTTAAAACCTCTTGTTGGGATGGGGTTGCAGAGCCTGACAAATGTAAACAATCTGTGCTCTCCAAGGAACTAGCAATGGGGAGATAAGCTCTCTCAAGCCAGTTCCTTCCTCTCACTGCCCAGGGAACATGTTGCTACTGATGCAGACCCTTGGGACCACCGCTCCTTTGGGATAATGGCACGGAAAATTACGTGTACCATCATGCCAGGGAGGGACTGGTCTAGATTATGTTGGTCAGGGCAAACCGAGATCCTTGAAGCTCTCAGTGGTCTTCTGGCTCTTCTAATATCAATTGGAGCTCTGGTGGCCTAGTGGTAAGGAGGTGTGCTGCAGTTTCCAAGGCACAAAGTTCAAATCCACCAGTTGCTCCACGGGGAAAAGATGGGCAACAGTCTTCTGATATACAATTAAAACGACCTTCTAGAAGGTCAGCTATGGGTCGGTTCCAACTCCATGGAACATAACAATACATATATATATATATGTAACAGATGATTTCCCATATTATCTCATCAATTTAGAGGAAAAGGAGTTCTTTCTTCCAAGGTGGTAGTTTTAGCCTCATGACTCTTGGACCTCAGCATTTCCTACTGGTGAGGAAATTCTAGAACTGCATCCTTGTGATTTCAGCCATCCCCTGTTGGTTGGGTAGGCCGGGGCAGATAAGGCCTTAAAGAAGGGTCCTGTTATACTGTCGTTCATTGATTTACTTCAGTGAGCCCATATTACGTGTGGTGGTGGTAGCCTTCCATGATGCTAGGTGGGCTAGAGCACAGGAGGGAAATAAAAGTGAAAGCCACACTGTGTTCTGGAGAAGCTTACAAGCTCTAGAACATTTTCTTAATAAGCATCCCAAGTCATGACTGTAGGTGAAGGGTAACCTCATGAGGAATTATATGCTCCTGTGAGCATCTTCTTCCTGGGTGACTAGATGAGGCAGGACTCTGCCCCATCAAGGAGGCTCTTTTTCTTCGCTCTTTATGGCAGATTTCCGGGTTCCTGAAGGTACTAGTGTCTCCTCAGCACTGTTTGTGCCCTCATCACCCCCTGCAGATTCATGGAGTTTGAAGCTGAAGAGGAGATGCAGATTCAGAATGCACAAATGTTGAATGAGGCCCAGTGCCCACCTCCTGCAGCCCCTCTGAAGCTCGACCCTCCAAATCCTCCAGCTCCTGAAGTTTGCCAGCAGCCAGGTATGGTGGCTGGTTCCAAAAGGAGCTAGCTATAAGCCAGAGCCTCAAAGGGAGATGTGCCGGAAGCCGTGCTCTCAATTCTGCCACTAGGGAGCAGTAGTCAGTATTTTGAATAGGACTTCCCATAGGAGACTGGGTTCTCATGTTTCCAGTTTGTTCCCAAGTGGCTATTGATGTTGGCCAAGGAAATTAGCAAATAGGGCCCACCTAATCAAAGACAAGGGAGCTGAATTGGGGGTATTTCTTAAGAGTTTCAGAAGTTCCAAGATTCCTTGTTCTTGAATCTAAGACTCTCCAGTTCTCAAGTCTTCTCCCCTGGTTAATCTTCATGGGTTGACCCAGCCATTGCATTGTACCTAGAATGCGTTTAGAAACAAGGCTGTAAGATAGAAACTGTAGCTTCTGTGCCACCACTTTGCCTTTCTCTTTATCACTCTGCCCCTCCTAAGCATACATTCCAAAGAAGGCAACCTCCAAAAGCCGGGCCCCTCGCCGGCGACAGCGCAAATCCCAGAAACCTCCAGTTCCTGAGGCGCCCAAAGAAATCCCACTGGAAGCAGTGAATGAGTATGTTAACATCATGGAAGGGCTATTGGGGAGCCACACAGCCATTGGGGAGTCAAATGGAAAACAGGAAGAGGAAGAAGAGCCGCAACAGGAGGACCTGTACCCAGATCCAGGTCTTTTGGGCTACATTGATGACCTGTGTTCTCAGGAAGTCTTTGTCTGTCAGGTAGGCTGTGGCTGGAGATCGTTTCTAGCAGATGATGGGGATGGGTATTTGTGGGAACCAAGGATCTGGGTTTCCAGAGTGGTCAGTTAGGGATGAGGCTGTTCTTTTAACTCCTGAGAAGAGTATGTGTGCAAGCACATACACATATGTGTAGGCACTGATGGTTCGTAACATGTGTTGGGCATGGGATGGGAATTCATGGCTTCTTCTCGAAAACCTCTAGGCTCACTGGTTATCTCCTTTCACTCTTTTGCTCCCCAGGTGGAGGCTGTCATTCACCCTCATTTTCTATCAGACCTGCTGTCCCCAGAACAGCACAGGGACCCCTTGGCCTTGATTGAGGAACTTGAGCAAGAAGAAGGGTTAACTCTGGCTCAGGTGAGCTTGAGAGGTGGGGAATAAAAGAATGAGATCCACACACAATTTCATTCAGCCCTATACTGTCTTGGATGGTTTGGCTTATGGAGCAGAAAAACCTCAGGATTGGGGGTACCAGTGCTGACTAAGGAGATAGAGGACCATGGAAATGTAGGGAATATGAATGCAAGGCCTCAAAGAAGGGGAATAAAGCATAAGAGGGCAGGAAAGAATAGCTCCAGTATCTGTCTGGTAGCATCACTTAACACACCTGTTTGCCTTTGCTGCCTTGTCTCAATACCATCACCCAAGACAGCCACCTCTTTTCACAATCAAGTACAGACTGGTGGTACTTGTCTGTTTCCTTGCAGCTGGTGCAGAAACGCCTCATGGCCTTGGAAAAGGAAGATGCAGAGGTGCCTGCAAGCTGCAGTGGAGCTCAATCAGATTCAAGTCCGTCGATTTCTGATGAGGATGAAGACAGGGGTGGGCGACTTCGGCCCTCACCTGGGTCTCAGGTGCCTAGAGGCACTGTCAGCCCAAAAAAGGTTGCTTCTTCAGGGAAGCAGGAAAAAGAAGGGCATGCTGGGCAGGAGCAAGTCATCGATGGCCCAAGGGAGGTGGGCAGGGATGGGGACACTTTATTGTCCCCAAGCAACTGGGACCTGAAACCAGATCTCGGATCTCAAAGCATCCAGGGACCCTTGAACACAGAGAGAAGAGGGTCTGAAACAGTCACAAACCAGGTAGCCCCATGCCAGCATAGTCACCTGGAAGGTATAGTGTCTCCTGGACACTCCATGGTAGTTGACAAGACTCCAGAGGACTTGCCCCTTTGCTGGCAGGAATATCCTCAGCTGGAGGGAGCACCTTGTGTGGATGTTGGACTTGCAGAGACAGCTCCTCTGCAGACTCAGGAGCTAGAGAGGCAAGTGCTGGGGCTTCAGACAGAGCAAGAGATAGGGGATCTTGGGGTGCTTCCTCAAGGGAAGGAACCTTTAGCATTGTCTCAAGAAGACACTGCAGGAGCCATGTGGGGAGATGACAGAGGCCCTCTAATGGTTCAGAGCTATGATCAAGATTTATGTCCTGGAACAGCTGGAGACAGGGACAGGGACTCTCTTAGTCCAGGACTTTGGCTGAGCAGTGAGATGGATGCGATAGGTTTAGAGTTGCCCCTGCAAATTGAAGAGGTCACAGACAACTTCCAAGATGGAGAATGTGTAACCGAGCACCAGGAAGCCTATGAAACACCGGGCACTGGGAACCTCTCTCTGTGCCTTGGAGAAATCACACCACCTGATGAAGTGAGGAGCGCCATAATTTCCAGTGGAGAGAATGATGCCGTAGATGCTCCAGAAAAGGAAAACTACTGCAGCTTGCCTGTAACTCCGAGGGCCAGCAGCCCTGACTTGACTAAAGAAAATAGCAAACACAACCCTGTAACTACTGAGGACCCCAGTGATCTGTGGGGTGAAGATTGCTATCTATTATTGGAAAGCAGAATTGATGCCCCCATACTGGGGTCTTCTGAAGAAACCCTCTTACCAACCTGTGAAAGCGATATCCTTATCCTGGGGATCCAGGATGCTGCCTCTCCTGAGGCCAACCAAGTCGCAGTGAGCAGAGGCTCTCCTCTGTTGGAAACCGCAGAACACATCAGCATACTAGATGATGGAGAGGGCCATAGCCTCCAACAAGAGGAGGTCGTTGAGGGTAACTGTCCAACAAATTCTAATTCTTCTGATCTACAAGAAGAGAGTAGATGTGATACTGATCTAAGTAGATGTGATACTGATCTATCCAAGCCAAAAGACCTTGCTCCCTTAGCAGAGACTCCAAAATCAGCATCTCCTCACCAAGATCTTGGAAGCACTTCCCCTGGCTGGGGAATTAGGAATGCCTCAGTTCTTAGAGAATCATCTCCTGTGAGTGCAAAATACAGCGCAGCAGATAGGGCCAACAAGGAGGAAGAAGAGGAGGATGAGGACGAAGAGCTCTCCAACTTTGCCCACCTCTTGGCCTCAAAGCTTAGCTTATCACCAAGAAGGCTCTCTCTCAGTCACCACCCTACCTTAGACCTGCCCTCTGTAAGTCAGGGGTCCAGAAGCACACTCCATTCCCTTTCTATTGAAGCAGGTCCTCCACATACTGTCGCCAAAACTGGGAAGCGAGCTCTGATTGGAGATCGAGCACCTGCTAAAAAGAAGTCTCATTCAGGATCTGGCGGTGGGGAAAACCCCTTGGCTCTAGTTGATCGTCCCTCACAGCCTCGTAAAAGGCGACGTGACAGTTTTGTCACGGGGAGAAGAAAGAAGCGACGTCGTAGCCAGTAGGGAGTGGGAAAATCACTGCTCACACCAGGCCACCCCCTGGGGGCTCTAGAGTAAAGGATCCCCAGTGCTATATAGCAATAGACTCTTTACACAGAACTGTTTTGTTCAACAAAAGTAGTGAGGATTGGGAGGTGTCAGACTAGGGTGTAGATGGTCTCTTTGGTGGGAGGTGTAGAAGTACCTCTGGAAGGAATTATAAAAATAAAGATGTTTTTGTTGGAAAACCGTCTATACTCCTGTCTGTTACAAGACAGAGTAAGATGCAAAAAAGGAGGTTGGAGCAGTCCCAGGTTCTACGGATCTAAGGTGACTTATCTAGATTTCAATGGCATCTTGGCTCTTTCTAGTCTCCCTTGGGAAGAGGATGGTTATTAGCCTCTGATGAATTCTAATACTTTAGTTAATGATAACATCTTTCCCCCTGAAGCTCAGATCTGTTTAGGAAGGCTTTTTCTGGATATCCCGTCAGTATCCATCTCTAAGACTACAGATGGAGAGATATTTCTCTACCTATCAGGTTTAGGTTTCCTGGGTACCAGATTTTCTTGATCCAACAAATTTCTCATAGTTGTGTTCTGACATGGCCCCTTCACTGGGGGAGAGGATGATGGGCAGGGGGCTTGTTTTCTTCTTCCTTGAAAAAGAGCCTGGACCAAGGAAACTTAAGACGGTCCTCAGCTAATCCAGGGGTTGTAGACACCCTCCTGTGTGGCTAGCTTCTTCACCTGACAAGGAGCAGGCTTATTTCTTGTTGACAGGGCTCTCTCCTCCTACAGAAGCCAGCATCGGGTCTCAATAGGGTTATTAAATATGGAATTGTAGTTAGCTATTTTTTTTTAATCTCTAATGAGGACAGAGCAAGAGGGAATGGGCTGAAAAGGAGGCTCAAGAGGAAGTCGGTTAGAATGTGTGTATTGAGATAATGATAACGAGAGGGGAGGATATGAAATCTGTGTGAGTGCTGTGTAGAAAAAAGCACTGGCCAGCTGGAAGCGAGGATTCTTCCAGCCGCAACCCAGGGAGTGACTTCAGGGGCCTTTGGAGCTTCCTGTGGGAATCCTGCTACCATTTATTCCCTTCCTTCCCAACTAATGAAACCATTAGTATGACTGAGCTTC